CCCCAGAAAGCCTCGCGGTTTTCCCGCGCTGGTCTCTCCGAGCGCCGCTGGCGTCGTTCCTGCGGCCACCCACACCGGCGCACCATACTGCACTGGCTTACCGTGACCATTCGGGGCAGATCAGGTGTATACGTGACACGCTCGTCGCCTTTCAAGCTGCGTGTGTTGTTCATTCGCTTGTTGCGCAAAATCTTGGTGCGTTGTCCACAGTTGCACGCGTTATCCGAGCCATGCTTTGCCCCGCCGTTCGGTTCCCCATTCATGATCCACGCTCTCTCTGACGTCGTTAACCGATCTTATCCAGACTGCACCCTCTGAGTTGGTTTGCCCGAATCGCAACCAGTGCTGCTGGAGGAACTCTGCCAGACACTGCGTCAACCTTATCCCTTGCTTCGCCATGCCAGACACTGGCGGGGACGGTTGTCGCGAATTGCATGAGAGAGCCACGTGTACCGTGCAATCGGTGCGCCCATCCATCAGGGTAGACAGCAGGACGATAGATAGACAAAGCGTCGAGTATGTGTTGTCCGTTGCCGATATCAGAGCCAGAGTGCCAAATGCCGCCTCGGTGACGAGTGAGGCCAGCGAGGCTGGAAGCCAGGAGAAGCAGAAGGAAGGCTGGCACAGCGTGTCGAGGGCCAGCCGATGTGGGACAACAGAGAGAGAGGGGAGGTAGAGAAATACATATATATATATATATATATATATATATACATATATATATAGTGAGAGAGGGAGAGACTGCATGGTAATGTAAGGGGGACGTGCCGTGCATGGCGTCGAATTGATCCGCGTCTGCAGGTGCGTCCAGAAGGTAGCACCTCGGCAGTCAACGGGTACAGGGCAGGCGGGGCACGCGCAGGTAGGATGTACCACGTTTACGTGGTAACGCGGCGCAGACGCAGGTTCTTGGACTGACGCGAATACAGATTCCCCAATCAGTGCTTGCACTGAAGGGGTCCTAGCGGATGCTGAGAGATGTGGCGAAAGCCCTAGGCCGATTTCGGTAGCCGGCTGGGCTCCCGGGTTCCCGGTTCCGGGCTCCCGGGCTCCCGGGTGCTGGCCCTGGGCCGATCCCGGGATCCCACGATCGAGCTCACCATCGAGATCTCAGGATCGATCTCCGTGTCCGCCTCACTCCGTCGGCCAGGCTGGACCATCCACCGATTGGGGTTCTTATCTGGTGGAAGTGTCTGAGGCGAGGGCAGGGTGCGGGCAGCTGCCGACGAGAGGGCACATCTTACCAGCCTCGAACGTATCCCTATCCTTAAGATTGACACGCCAAAAGGCGATGACAATCTTAGGGATTCGCCCTCAAAACATAAGGGAATCCCTAAGATTGGCATCGTGATGGGGAGGTGCCCAGCATAGGGATAGGGATATGTTCCAGGCTGGTAAGAGAGGGCACATCGGAAATATCTCCGAGAGCCCGCGAGCCTCAAAAAAGGCACCAGGGCAGCGCGGGGCCGTCCCAGGTCGCTCAAAGGGCGCGCTCTGAGAGCGTGTCGGGTCGGTCTGGAGCGACTTGTCCTCAGCCTTGCGGAGCGCTCGAGGAGGAGGAGGAGGAGGAGGAGGAGGAGGAGGAGGAG